TCCGTCTGCCATTTATGAGGTCGATTGGTCGGGAAAATGAGCGACAATTTGGTGCTGTCATAAATTGGAAACTGGGCGGCCAGGTGGTGCCACCATCTTGCCACCCCGTCGAAAAAACTGTTGCTGATGCTCAGCGTATTGGTTTTTTCGTCGCTAAATTGACGACAGATCAGAGGCGGTCGTACAGAGGCTAATTGTGACGATTAATGGCCGACAATATGATGAGCGTGAATGAAGACGTCTGTTCGAACTGGTTGGCCCAAAGGCTGAGCTCATCTCAATTGCTCATCCAGCTCGGCTATTCTTCGTACAACACCTCTGATGCTCAGAAGTCGATACCGCGGCCAGCTCGGCTTGCTAATAATCAAGTCTTATCCGCTGTTATCTGCTCGCTAATCCGCTTCTGCCTCGCGCGCCTTGCTATGCCAAACACTAAAGTGGCGCATTCTATGGCAGACTTGCCTCCCTTCTACCCAAGGATTGCTACCTTTCTAGCACAGGAAACCCGCACTTTCCGGGGCAATAGCCTCAAGGGCCTTGATCGATTCTCCCTGGTGTCTCTTCTTCGTTCATACACTGAAATCTAAATTAGATCGTGCCTTAGGCTGATATTGGGCCAAGTGCGCTCTGAATTGAAATAGCGCTCGAATCACAGAGACATAGCGTCAGTAATTGGTGATCGAATTAACAGTCGTCCGAGCAAGTCCGTGTGACGGCGCGCGCTTGCGCGCTCACGTCGCCACACACACAGAAAACTAATTAATGGGGTACGGTATCGAAGAGACGAGTGGAACACGTGTACGGTATTCGTCGAAGGCCGTAAACACACAACACCAACATTGGAAGAACTAGTTACGGTGTTATTAGATTATAGTCGGCGACGCCTTGTTTTTCAACAAGGGATTTCTAGCCTCTTTGGCGGAAGAGGCGAGTCCACGGCAAGGTGAGGCATCGCTGAAGAGAAAATGATCTAACCGGTGCCCCCCCCCTCTTCACCGGGGCGTAAAAGGGACTCCCAGTGTAAAACTGGAACCCTGAAATGTAGCTGAGGCCGATTTCTGTGCGCGAAAGGCAGGGGGGCTCACATTACAGCGACTCTACATACACATAGGAATCCCTTCAGATGCCCTACTTCCCTTTGCCGAGCTTGTTATGGTCCCTACTAATTGGAGATGAGTTGGGGGGGGGGGAGAACTGGACGAGGCGAAGTTTTGTTTTTCCTCGCTCACTACAGTAGTGTATGCGGGAAATTTCCCACGGTTCAACGAGTGTTTTGTTTTGAATTTTGCGCCGTTTTGCGTCTCTAAGCGCTGGCAACAATACTTGTCTAGTCGCTTCATTGCACACATCACCTGCCCGCAGGGTTCTGGAAAAAAATGCTGACAAAATGTACTGCTGCTCCAGGTCCCATAGGTAAAAATCACTTCAAGCGCTGACGGGTCAGATGGCCTGCACTTCTAGCCTGTCCCAGAGATGGAACTGGCTTTGTTAAGGATTTCGGCGTTGTTCGGCTTTAGAGGGGGGGGGGCATTTTGCACTTCTGCCGCTTCCTACTGACGAGCTCTCTGCTTTACAGGAGTTGACAAGAATTTCCAACAACCCTTGACAGGTATCAATTCATTGCTTTTCAAGATCTCACAGATCTCAACTTGATGGCTCGGCTCGACAGTGGGAATCAGCGAAAGTGCTAAATGACCCCCCCCCCCCGCCCCGAACTGCGCCCAGATTCCTAGGTCTTACTCCTCAAGTGGAACTGGGGATTAAGGTAGTCCTAAGTACTAAAGTACTAGTGAAGAGCTGGTGCAAATAGTGTAATTGCAAATGGTTTACACAAGTGGTTGTGTGTGTGTGTGCAATTGCGGTCATTGCTAAATAAACGGATCAACGGGATAATAATAATAACGGTGGCCCATCAGATGACGTAAGTCGACAAGAGGATTAGTGGGGAAAAAGTGACGTTGACTCACCTTCTCGGCGTTCACGGCCATGTCACGCATCTGAATCTGCCGTTTCTTGTCCTTACAACGCTTATTTTGAAACCAAACTCGGATTACTCTGGCGTTTAGCGCTAAAAGTAGAAATTACCAGGTGGTCCAG